GTTGCTCGTGAGTAACTTACGCGACATCTTACTTGAAGTATTGTTGCAATACAAGAATGCGCGAAACTGCACAATACCGGTGCCCAAAAAGGAAAGGATCAATGAACAGCTGATTTCGGCAAAAAACCGAAGATTAGGTTTTTGTCTTTTTGCAAAGTTTGCTTAGGTTTTTTCTACAAAAGCTAGTCAGAGCGACAATCTCTTTATTTATTTCCATTCGATTTTGTCCCTACTTCCTCAATTTTTGATGAAATTTTGGTTAAAAAAAACGCAGTTTTGTTTTGTGCATTCATTTGGTTTGTGGATTCCTTGATAGCGGCCGTCATTGATTTTCTTCGATAGCGACCGCTATCAAAGATTACTCAGTGATGCGCAAAAACTCGTCACTGTCCGGCGCCGAACCACGGTCGTGTGGGCTGAGTACCGGTCACATACCTGTTTGACCAAACCTGCACAAGAGGTGTAAGTGTTTCCTCTTTGATAGCGCGCAAGATTTTTATGCCTGAAAAGCGATCCGCATCTAAATCAATAGCTCGCGGGATGCTAGACCGAGGCGCCATACGATCAACTCGGGTCCGTCTCAGGGCAGATCCCCTGAAGGAGGTTTACTACGGGCCTTGTTCTTTCAAAATAATCTTCACTTTTTGTGGGTGGCAGATCTTCAGACAACCTCCACTAATGAGGCCCTGTCTTTTTTACTGAAATCCATGATTTTATCTGGGCATCTGAAGATTTGCTGAATTTTTCTTGATTTTACGCGGAAACTTCCACGCGAACCTAATACGATTTATGATATTAGTTGCCCTAAAAGTTCATTGCACCATATCGGATCTTTTTTTTTCGTATAGAGTTTCTATAGTCCCGAACATGTTGTTTGTTCTCTTTTCGATCACGGCCAGGTTTTGGCTCTTTTCATGTTCCTTGGAGGCCTGAATGCTAAGTATTATCCTGACTCAAGACAAACTAGCTTTCCTGCAGCCCTGCCACTGGTCACGTAAAATCAGGCAAAGTCCATTGAGAGTCCGAGTCCATTAAGAATGTCATTGACGGATATCACTCATAATGGCTGGAAATAAAATATTCAAACCTGTCGTGACATGTTCAATTACAGATAGCAGGATTCTTGAAAAGTGCAATTTTCTTGAGCCTTTCTAAATTTGCCTCTTGGAATTTTGAAATGAAAAGAGTCTCGTTGCAAACTTTTGGAATTCAAGTGTTTCCAAGCGTTTATTATCAAACCTCGATTATGCAGAACAATCAAGTGTTTCGTCATGTCATAATTAGATTTGTTGAAACAGCTATGCGCAATCATAAAATTTGCACTGGGGATGCTTCGGATTTGAAATTTCTGCAACTATTTCAGCAATTAGGAAGAAATTTGCAAATATCATAGTCTCGGGAAAGAGAGACAAACCAGTTGGGTACCGTTTGAAGCAGTTGTCTGTCGACAACCTACGATTTGAGATCTGAGATTTGGAGTTCTTGATGCTTCTCACTAGTAAACCATGAAAATTGTGGAATTGTAACGGGGGTGGTCTAGTGGTATGCTTCGGTGGCACCTGATCGATGGAGAAACACGGATTTGAGTACAAGAATTTATCCTAATAGCACAATGTAACAGCAACAAAAACTATAAGAACGGGTATAGCTATGTACAACAATGTTTTACTACCCAATTCGGCCCTCTCAGCGGGGTTCTCTAGCTTTCTCTATCCAAGCGGCGAGGTCCGCCTCTCTTCGACGGCTCGTTTAAACCCCCTGGAGCGCTCTCTTCACGCTCTGCCTGCTCCCCCCTATTCACCGGTATTTATGGCCTGCTGAAGGGGTCAGCGCGGGCTTTTCTTCCCGCCACTGGAGATCGGTAGGTTGGTGATCCGCGCCATCCAATATCCCTCCCCTCCGGTGAGCCGACGTCCCCGACGGCTGCTGCAACTTGCTGAGCTTTGCGCCGGGAACTCTCCTGCGGATGACGTTGTAGAGGTGTCGCGCATATCCGTGCCTGAAATGCGTGTCGTATACCTGAAAAGAATTTTGGGGTCCATCTACTCCCATGGTCAATTTCCTATTTTCTGTCCTTGAGGGAGCCAACGTGAACAGCTGATTTGGGTTTGCCCATTTTTCCAGTACTGATTCAATCACCGACCACACTTTTGACTTCGTTTTCCACAAACCACTCTTCTTAAACGGTAGGGGCGGCCACACGGATACAATCTTCCCTCCTTCTTCAAGGTACTTCTTGCATATCCGCAATGTCTCTATGATAGCCTCATCCTCCCTTCTTGGGTTCATGGGCCATACAATGATCCACATACGACATGTCTTCAAGTACTTCAGTGCTTCCTTGAGTTGACTGAATGATGCTGCCACTTTAGTCAGTACTCCACACTGGTTCAGCTCAACTCTCAAGTGGTGCTGCACATCTCGGTGCAATAAACGCAACAGGACGTTCCTTCTCAGAACTTTGTCCTTCCTCTGTGCATGTCTTCTTGACCATGTCTACTTGCTGTGCCTCCTTGCACAGTCTTCTGAGACCCTGGCTTCTGAATGGTCTCTGCTTTCTGATGCCCCTTCTACATTGGGACTTGCTCCCCTTGCATTGATATGCTTTATCTGGCCCAATATTTGCTTTGCCTTCTACTTTGGCACTTATTCTCCTGCTATTGAAATATTTTTTCTTTTCAGAAGCCACAGATTTGCACTTCTTCACAGATCTTGTAGCTTTGCTCACACCCAAAGGGCCTTGTTGAATTATAGCTTTTCTTGAGCTTGTTTTTCTCTTGGGAGGTATTATCTTCTCCTTTGCTTTTTCTCCTTCTAACTTTGTCGTAGGCCGTGAACTATTCAAACTTGAGTGTCTGGCTTCACTTATTCTGCATATCAAACTTGCTGAGACGCTTTCCTCCGGTTTTCTGCAATTGCTTATCACATGTTCTACATGACCACACCGGTAGCATCGCTTTCCTTTCTTTGATGTACTCTGTTGCAAAAGTTGCTCGGCGGTTCCCATGTTTTTCTCTTTTCTTCATTCTCCTCTTCCTTTTTTGCTACGCCAGCGTACCAGCTTGCTCTGTCTTGCATACCGTCTCTAAGATTATCATCCTTACAGGACACAACTTTCTTTGAAAGCTTCCTCACGGCTGTTATGAGCCTTCGCGATTGATCAATTTCAATAGCTAATTCTTTCACCGTGTTGCATGCATCTGCAGGATCTACCTTATGTAGTGCGGCCACCAGTTGCACATACTCTGGCCATGTTGTTAGATTTCTAACAGAATCTGTACGTATTCCATCGATCTCTCTTCAATACTACACTGAGGACTAGCCTTCCTTGCTAGCTCCTCTAACGCTGCGCAAAAGTCTGCAACTTCTTGATCCGATCTCAGACGCATATTGCGTAAGGCAGTAAGCGCCTTCAACCTGGCGGCCGTAGAATCGCAAGCCAACAGTGAGACCATCTCACTTACTACTTTATCAAAACCCTGGTATTTAACCGCGGCGGGTATATTTAAAAACATAGACCTCGCCCTTCCTTCCAAGTGTTCATCACCCATGAGCTCTATTAGCAACTGCTCATCTCGGATGATGGTACCATACTTTCTTTTGAACTTCCGAATGAACCTGTCAAAGTCTTCATCATCATAGCCTCTGAAGACTCCAAGATCGGCAAATGTCATGCTTTGAAAAAAGTTGAGCAACTGATCTTCCACACCTCGATGGCTCTCGAGTGTTCGGTCATCCGACCCTCTCAACGTGCTTGACTGCCAAGCATTTCGCTCTCCTGCTATGGCACATGGGCTACATTGCCCTCTCTTCGTTACTCCAGTACACTCGGTACTTGCTTGCAAACTCTCGGGTTTTCCCTCCCCGCCTGCATTGACTTGCAATGACTCAAAACAGACAGCTTTCCTTACTGCCTCCGCCATTGCTCTGGGACTGAGTATCTGCTTTAACACGGCTGTTAGGCTCTCCAGCCTACCTAACACTGTGGCTACCTTAGCCTCTACCTCTTCTTCAGGTGGCAATCCATCAAGCGGTAGCCTACCTCGGTTCAGGTGCTTGCCCACACTCGCAGGTATCATTTTTACCTCGCGTATGATGAATTCTATTTCCTCTATCAGCCCCTTTAGGCTCCTTTCCTGGATATGATCCGCATACCTTTGCTTCTGATCTATATCCATGTTACTAATTACACTAGGCAGCGACATGCTTCGCCTGTTCTTCACACTCATTGATAATCAACGCCGCGCGCAAAATCGCGCCTCTTAGCTGAGCAGAGAATGTTAATCACAATCAATACTCACGCCTCCGTAAGCGCGGATGATTTGATCAATCGTTAACTTCCTCACTCTGGCTTTATCAGCCTGCTCGATATGTTCTTTTGCTGCTATGCCTTGCGGATAGTCGATATCCGTACTCTACCACGCGTCTACAATCGATCAAGGCGACGGCTCGGCCCCCATGTAACGGGGGTGGTCTAGTGGTATGTTTCGGTGGCACCTGATCGATGGAGAAACACGGGTTTGAGTACAAGAATTTATCCTAATAGCACAATATAACAGCAACAAGAACTATAAGAACGGGTACAGCTATGTACAACAATGCTTTATTACCCGATTCGGCCCTCTCAGCGGGGTTCTCTAGCTTTCTCTATCCAAGCGGGGAGGTCCGCCTCTCTTCGACGGCTCGTTTAAACTCCCTGGAGCGCTCTCTTCACGCTCTGCCTGCTCCCCCCCTATCCACCGGTATTTATAGCCTGCTGAAGGGGTCAGCGCGGGCTTTTCTTCCCGCCACTGGAGATCGGTAGGTCGGTGATCCGCGCCATCCAACAGAATGAATATGAGCAAAGTCAGTCTCAAAATCTTTGGGCCCCACCTACTTGAGCCTCAATGAAACAAAAGATATTTCAATTTTTAACACCAAGCGCGATGTCTTTTTTAGGTGTTAGAATGTTGTAAAAGCTTCCTTTAACCATACACATCGCCTATATTCTAGACTTGCAGATGATGGACGACCATACGTCAGAGAAACGTCAGTCGGCGGAACTTCCTGCACTTTCACAAGAGCATAAGAACGAGAAATAATACTTCTTCAATGTTTATTCTTTCAAAACAAAGATAACTTGAATTGAGCTACCAAACTGCAGCTTTTTTAGAGGTTTTAGAGATGAACAAGTAGAAGTGTGCTAATTTTTTTCATGCGTGATTGACTAGAATGACATTCATGTTGAAATATAGGTTATGGAAAGGCGCAGCTCTTCTGTAATAACTCTTGGGCCTTTTTTAGTCCTTCCAGCCGATGGTCTGATTGATTTGAGTTGGTGTTGGTTCTTTGCCGTAATTACTTTTCGTTACAAACAATGAACGGGACCATGCCTTCACAATTAAAAATCACCAAAATTGAAACCTATGCTTTTTGCCGTGGTCGAGTTTCGCTTTATAAGAAATCTTTACGGTGAGCAACCCCGGATCATCAAATACAGCATTTTTCCTCTTTTCAACATGTGGTTCGATTCTTACCTTGACCGTGGCAAAAAGCAGGGATTTCAGATTTTGATGAATTTTAGGAGCTCGTTTACTGCAGTGCAATAAAAGCATAGCCATTCTAAAAAATGAGAAAATGACAATGCCAGCCCCTCTATGACTTTATGAATTTTTTCTGCGAGTTGGGCAGCTGTTTAGAAAAAGCGAGAATACTTTTGGGACAACCTAATCCACATCAATTCCGGAAACGGAAGTTCAAAAATCCAAATTTCCATAAAGATTCGGTTGAAAAAATCACTACGGACCTCCAACCTGTTCACAGATTCACTATCCACACCAGACTTAATGTACAGTTACTACAGTTACTGAATTTTCCCTATGATTTGATTGAGAAACGGATTTGATACAAAATATAACAAGGCCAGTTTCTCGGGTTCTCCATGCTCATATTTCTCCGTTTACTGAAGAACGAACTGCATTGGCGCAAAGGATGTGCATCAATTATGAGTCCTAATATACGAAATTCCCAGCGACAATATGCATGTACTTCGATAGCCTAATTTATAGTTTGCACAGGAGTGATTTGGGTCTGATCTCATTCAGACCGTTGGTGGTTGCCAAAAGAAGAACTAGTAAGCGAAAAATAGAATAAACGAAATTTTGGCTGAGTTAATGTAGTAGGTCGGCGATTATTTGGAATGGGTGTCTTAGTGTGGGCCAGGTATATGGCTCGGGGCCATCGCTCCCAGTGTGTGCCACAGGGAAGGCTTGTGTGCCAATGCTCCATTTGGGGGCCGTGAGACATATTGGGGGGGGGGGGGGGGTAATGGTACTTATCCTGGATCTTGCAACTAAGCGTAGCTATGCAATTAAGATCATAGATGCCGTTTGAAAGCCTTAATCGTGCCTCAAATTTGAGCTAAATCAGGTCAAGTGAAGCGAGTTATGATTTTTCATAAAAATCAATTTTTATTTTGAAATTCAGAAAGACTTGGAATGTTTTCAAAACTCTCTAAAAACCTTCATTTTACTCTTAAAGCAAAAGTTTGAAAATCCCGCTCTTATCAATGATGACACCATTTTATCACTTGTGGCTGAATAAATCATGTATCGTCGAGTCATTCGTAACTTAATATGTGTAGTGCACACCAAGCACGCTGATTGACGAACTACAAAACTAGAACCTTTTTGTTTCCAGTGATTTCTGCTTGTTTCCTTGTCTCTTTTGTTTTTCCTGATTGCATGTTAGTCAATAGAACACATTTGTACACTTTGTTAGGCTAAAAAATGTTTCACTGGAAAGTTACCAGTAAGGGTGCCGTCGCTCATAGGGCTTAGTGTGCAGTCTCACATATTAAGTTACAAATGACTCGAGGTTATTAGGACCAATTTTGGTGTAACGTGAGCAAACAATAGTAGGAGACGCTGTGCAACTTTTTAAGACGCGATCTTCACTTTGAAGCGATACATGAGCTTTTCTGGGTTGAACGAATGCATGATGCATTTATGGATTGGCGGTCAAGGATAACGATAGTTCCGCCAGCCGCTAGCTGCCAGGTGTTCGCGCGCGCAGAACAGCCGCCCACACTCATCAATGAAATAGAGGAAAATGATTTAAACTTCAGTTCTTTTCATAGAAATTCGTTTCCTACATCAATCAAAGTTTACATACATCACATGCTAAATTGATCTCAAAACACCTCTATCGCATGCTTATAGCGATATGATTGCTAATTATTTCCATCTTTAAAAAATAGCGGAAGCTTCCACATAAAGCATAAATAAAGTATAACAATGCTTCGAGATGCTACAAAATGCAGTGCCTGCGTGAGCTTGTCCGCTGTTGGGGCGGTGCTACCTGTACACCGTTTGATGACACCCGGGCACAGGGTGCCACTTTTGCCAGCTGTCGTTGTTCTTGATATATACCCAGTTTTTGCCGAACCCTCACTTCGGCAATTGATCGATGGCCCAACAAGACAGTTCTTCGTTGTAGAAATCGAATTTTTCAAAAATCTGTAACTTGGTCCATTCTGAACGTAGCGCAAAGAACTAAAAGATATTCGATAAAGTTTTTTCTGATGTGTTGGATCTGCGCAGTCTATAAAGAAGCTCAACAGTGGTTTTGTTCAATAATAGATTGTAATCTCGCATGATTGTAGAGATTTCAAAAATCTATAATACAGCGCGTTTTCAAGATACAAGGGCCCGGTAAAGATTGTTTGATAAACTTTGGAATGGAAAGCAAAAAATGATGTTTCGGATTGATTGTAAATGGGTGGGGCTTACAGCTGGCTTACAGCCAAATAGTCAGAATTCTGCACGTCTACGTATGTTTCAAAAGTTCGCAATTCAGTCCATTTCCAAGAAGAAGGACAAACAAAAGCTATACGGTACTATTTTGAGCGTAGAATACAATAAATGGTGTTCCATTCAGACAAGGAGTAGGCGGAGCTTGCGGTTCACGAAAATGCTTAATTTTGCTTGCCCGAATTTCTGTGGCGAACCTATTGTTCAACTCAATGGAAGGCCTGTTAAATGCAATAATGTAATAGATTTGGGTGGCTAAGGGAAAAATAGTGTAGCGGGTCGATTCAAGGGGGCGAAGCTTGGGTCAAGTGTGGAGCACCGTCGCAACTCATCTACCCCATGTCTCGAAGAAGGTCGATTGGACAATGGCACGGACGTCGCTGAACACCAAGTAACTTAAACCACGTCACTGATTGCAACTAGATCAAACCGACATCGTCGACCACCAGAACGTCTTCAAGTGAATACTCGTTTTAAGATGTACCGTTGTTCATCTTAGGAGAAAGGTGTTGTAGAGTGTTCAACGTACATTGGACAATGAGTTATATAATAAAAAGCACAAACACAAACTTCATAATGCGGGTGAAAGGAATTATACATTAAATATACAGAATTAAACAAATTACGATTTACAATTTTACAATTTACAATTCTACAAGATTACAATTAATTATACATGGTCGACAATGGCAGCAAAAGTGGACGGAACTTGCAGTTCACACATTAATTCTACTAGATTACATGTGTAGTGGAACGCGTTGAGTCGTTGACTATTTATTAGAAGAACACAAATGCTCTCCCTATACATATCGGCGCACACGCAATAGACATAGCAACACGTAAACATATCGAGGTGCGGCGCCGCAGCCGCATAGGTCGCCTCAGCCTAATCTATCAGTGGTGAGCTAGTTCCAATGTACGTTGAACAGCTCTACAACACCTTAGATGAACAACGATACATCTTAAAACGAGTATTCACTTGAAGACGTTCTGGTGGTCGACGATGTCGGTTTGATCTAGTTTATTGTTTATTGTTTATTGTTTATTGGACTACACTCTAGGTGTGCCAACATAATATAGTCAAAAACAACGACACAGTAAATTCAAACAATAGTCAGCTAATCTCAACAGAGTCAGTGTCTTTCAGACCAAGAGCTTTACGTGTATGTACCATGTAACTTACTCGAAAAATAATACGCGACAAACTCCTTGATTGGATTGAAAAATTCAAACTCATACCGCCTGAGCAACATGGATTCAATAGTGGTGCATCTACGGTTACTCAATTACTTGACTGTACCCATGACTGGATCAATGCTGTTCTCACCGATAAGGAAGTCGATGTGATATATTTCGATTTATCAAAAGCTTTCGAGCGTATAAGCCATGAAAAATTGCTGTTTAAACTTGATCATTATGGCATCAGAGGAGTCTATTGAATTGGTTTAAATCTTATCTTCAAGATAGAAAAATGACTGTTCGCGTTGGTCTAAAACGTTCTGAATGTTCTCCATGCATAAGTGGGCTTCCTCAGGGAGGCGCACTTTTACCTCTCTTGTTCAACATCTACACCGCTGATCTACCTAAAATACTTAAAACCCATCCAGATGTGCACATACTGATGTATGCAGATGATATCAAAATTTTCGGTATCTATAATAATGAAAACCGCAGAATGGTCCGAGATGCACTACAACGTGCCCTCAATCTTATGATTGAGTGGTGTAAAACTGGGACATCTCTGTAAATGTGAGTAAAAGTTTTGTGTTCCACATCGGTGTTGCCACAGATGATGATTTCCTTTACGAACATGCCGGTGAGACCTTGATCAAAAAAACATACGTTAAAGACCTAGGGGTCATATTTAATCCCTCTTTGAAACCAGATTTACAAGTCTCAGCTGTTGCCTCTCGCGCAACCTCTCAGTTACCTCATATATCGCAATACGAAAGTTGATGACCCTAAAGTACTCTTAAAACTTTATAAATCTTTTGTCATTCCCATTTTAGAGTATGCGAATCAAGTGTGGTGCCCCTTTCTGGTGAAGCACAAACATTCTCTGGAGAACGTTCAGAAAAGTTTTACACGACTGCTTTTTTACCGCTGCTTCCCTAGTCCTACTTATCCCCAGTCACTTCCTGGCTATGAAGAACGTCTAAAAATACTTGGCCTCAAAAGCCTCTCGTATCGCAGGGTCATTCATGATCTTGTACTTGCTTTCAGGATTTTCAGGGGAGAGACTATATTGAGTCCTTCCAAGTACTGGGTCTTTAGACCCACTTATGGAAGGA